GAGGTGAGGTGAGGTGAGGTGAGGTGAGGTGAGGTTAAGTTAGGTTAGGTTAGGTTAGGTTAGGTTAGGTTAGGTTAGCTAAGCTTAGGTTCTGGTCTATTCTCAGGTTAGGTTAGGTTAGGTTAGGTTATGTTAGGTTAGGTTAGGTTAGGTCAGGTCAGGTTAGGTTAGGTTAGGTCAGGTTAGCTTGGCTTAGCTTAGCTTAGGTTCTGGTCTATTCTCAGTTAGGTTAGGTTAGGTTAGGTTAGGTTAGGTTAGGTTAGGTTTGGTTAGGTTAGGTTAGGTTAGGCTAGTTGAGGATATGTTCTGGGCTATTCTGGCCTGTGTGTTTCATAAATGTACCTAAACTCGATAAGAAACGATTTTGGTTGCTTTATTATTGTTACCTTGGTCCCGTACGTTTTATGGTTCTTGATAAGCAGAAATATTGTGCTTTCGCAACAACGCAGAAACGGCGCTTGGGAGTCGAGGCGGTGCGGTGCGGTGCGCGCGGCGCTCGTGGCTCGCCATCGTATTTATTAAAATTCGAGGGTAGGAGCATGATTCTATCTGTTTTGAAATTATTTCCGATATGTTCCGCCTTAAACACAACGAATGGTTTACCTTGGTCCCGTACATTTTGTAGAGTTCTTGGTAAGCAGAAATAATGTATTTACGCAACGGCAACGCAGAAACGGCGCTGGGGAGTCCAGGCCAGGAGGGTGTCATGCGTATCGTTTAACACTATCAAAAAGTGGCAACATCGAGCGTGCACAAGAAAAGAGGTAATTTGGAAGCAAAGCATGCATGACGTCAAGTATACCATATTTGATGGCGTCAGTGGCACGAAGGCCCCTTAGTTAGTCAGCTGACTGCCGCACAGCCCATTAGTTTGAATGGTGAATGTGTTTTGGTGGCGTGCGGCTGGCGGTTCCCGGTTAGAGTATGGATGAACAGTCCACGGTTTTGTCATGCAAATACTATCCTGGAAGGAGATTGAATCTTGAGACAGTTTGATCTCATCAGAATTTTTATATTTTTCCGTGTGGTACACATATTTAGGGGCTAGACGTCATGCGGCGTTTGTAACGTATCGTGTATCGCGGTTGCTGGACCTTTCGTACCCGCTGGGTGCCATCCAAGGCGTGCCATCAGTTGCGATGACTACGCCTTGTCTGAGGGGTTTCATGTGCAATTAGTTCTGGACGATCGGTAGCATTTATAATGCTCGACCTGTAGAATGTTTTATTATTCATTGGTGTGCATGCTTTTCAGCATACATACATTACCAAATAGGGGCTTTACTTTCATTGTACTTCTACTGGTGTTGGATGAACACAGAAGTCCCCCACCTGATTTGCTGTATGGTTCTTTAGAATATTGCACTTGGCTCTTTGTGTGCATGTTATGGTTACCTCATTTTGGGGTATCTTTCCACAAATCTCTGAAGTGTGAAGTATCACATTTCCTTGTATCATGTTTCCCATGCACTATAATGTGTTCTGACTGCCCAAACTTTGTATTGCTGCTTAACTTTTGCAGCAATTTTTGTGCTATTCCTGGTATGTTTGGTGTGACATTCTTTTTGCCATTTGGCACTCACACTATCAGATGTACTGACCTTGAACACCACTTGCAATCATCTCCCTTTTTTACAGTGTACAACAATCTGAATGAACTGAAGATGCCTTCTTGTGCTGTGGGTGGCTGTGATTCCAAAATTTATCCAAGTCCCTCTGATATTTCTTTTCATCGTTTTCCTGTGCATAAAGCGTGTAAACAAGTTCGGGTTTCTAAATGCGGACAGGGCAACAAATTAAATCTTAAAACAGCAAGAATTTGCTCGAAGCACTTTGAGACAAGACATGTTGATGCTGGCTATGCCATGTATAACAAACTTGTTGGAGGTGCCAAGAAAAGGTGTTTGACACATGATGCTGTGCCCTCATTAAAGCTGCCTGGCCACTTAGCAGGCTGGTAAGATGTATGAAAGATTCTGTTGGTAAGGGTAGCAATGTTATGATTGTAACATGTTTGAAGTGACAAGAAACAATAGCATTTTAGGCTCATTTTGTTTCATATTGGTGGTTGTGGTGGTCCTTATGTTGGGCATGTTGTATTAAGGTGCTATGTCTTCCCCAGAAATGGAACAAAGGTTATATTAGCCTGCTACAATGAATAATGTATTGTGACATGAATATGATAGCATCTGAATGGTGACAATGTATGTATGCTGAAAAAATTCAGAATTTAGTCATGCTGTACATTTTGCAGAGGGTTTGACTCTGCTGGAAGAATTTCGGAAAGTGCTCATGCCGGTTTTCATGGATGCCACAGTACTGTCACTATGTGGTGTTTACAGCTTGTAGGCCTTGTTTTTGTGCATGGTTGGTATTGTCTTCCTTTATTTGTATTGTATGATACTTTCTTTTGTGTTGTATGTCTCCTAGAAATGTTGCCCCTGCACTGCACAAAAATTGGGAGGCTGTAACTTGATTTGTGTTAGAAGAAAGGTGCTTCTCCACTCTGCACACATGCATACAAAGATGATGCTTTATTTTCTCCACCTAAGATTTCCTTAGAGCTAACCTCACATGCTCTTGTTTTTTGCTTTGTTTAGATTGTTCTTCGAAGGGCTTGTAAGGTATTTGAAAGGCTTCCAGGATAAAATTTTGGTTTTCCAGGTGCATCAATTTTTGACTGATAAAACGAACTAGACACTGATGTTTAAACACCACAATGATATATCGTATGCTTGTTTCAGCCCCATTGCTGGTGCCCGGCGTCGTCACGCCAGGGCCGAGCGGCACGTGGCTGTCGTCACCCAGCTGCAGGCGGTCGCCGCTACGACCAGCGGTCCCGCGGCTGCCGGTTGTGCGACTACAGCTATCGGCCTCGCAGATGGACCCGATGGCTCCGCGACTGGACGTGATGGCCCCGCGGCTGGTAGCCTGGTTGGTGGACCTGGCGGACCCGCGGCTGTCGCCCTCGCGGCTGTGGCTGGACTCAGTGACCCTGCGGCTGGCGACCCCGCGGCTGTGGCTGGACTCAGTGACTCCGCGGCTGGCACCCCCGTGGCTAGCGCCCCCGGGGCTGGCGACCCCGCGGCTGGCGCCCCCTCGGCTGGCGGCCCCGCGGCTGGCGACCCCTCGGCTGGCGGCCCCGCGGCTGGCGACCCCGCGGCTGGCGCCCCTGCGGCTGGCGGCCCCGCGGCTGGCGACCCCTGCGGCTGGCGCCCCCGCGGCTGGCGACCCTGCGGCTGGCGCCCCCGCGGCTGGCGCCCCCGCGGCTGGCGGCCCCGCGGCTAGCGGCCACGCGGCTGGCGGCCCACGCGGCTGGCGGTCACGCGGCTGGCGGCCACGCGGGCTGGCATCGCCGAGGGTACGGCTGGACTTGGTGGCCCCTTGACTGATGACCAGTTAGCTGGACCTGGTTGCACCGCAGCTGGATCTGGTGACCCCGCGGCTGGATCTGGTGGCCCCGCGGCTATCGACCCCGCGGCTGCGACCGGAGGCCTCGCAAGCACCGCTACGACCCTGACCAGGTGCGTATACTTTTATTATTATATATTATATTATGTTGTATATTATATATATATATATATATATATATATTATAACATATATTACCGCGGTCCTATGTAGTACTGTCGCTTGCACGACGACTCACAGCATTTTGGGCCGTTAAAACCTAGCCCTCGATGTGTCCTAGCAGCGAAAGAAATTAACATATCCTGCTATATACGGGATCATGGGCCATATGCTTCATTACAAACAGGTAATCCTGCGTTTAGATGTTCAGAAGTCAACACGCAGAGGACAGGTGTATGTACTGGTACTGTTAGAAATATGTTGGTTCGCTATCTTTCTTCTCAGCTTGTGTGGTGGTTGGACTCACCGCTTGTGAACGTTTCAAGAATGGGAGGTGATGAAGCAGAGTTCTATGGGGTGGTTCTAAGCCGTGTCTTATGTGTTGTCGTATAGTACCATTTCACCTCTTTTAAAAGGTGTCGTGTACAGGCCACCTTGATATCGTGGGTTGAAGGGCGACGCTTCAGACTGGGACGCACTACGTACGCCGGCTTATCTCGCTGGAGGGGACGTAATTTATACGGTCCCTGCAGTGCGATAGGTTGGGGGCTGTTAGTGCCTACTCGGCTATATCGCACAGCGTGACATCTTCTGGCATGTCATACAGCTATTCCCTCCTTGCTCCAACAAGTCCACTTCCTCAGGTCCTCATTCCTACTTCCCTCCGACATTGTCCAAGATAAAACACCCCTTGAACTGATCGCCGACCTGAGTGCGGAGCTGGCAGTGATGCGTGCGAAGCAAAGACAGAAAGACGTGCTCCTGCAGAGGATGCAGAAACAACTGACCCAGCTTAAATCCAAGCGAAAAGCGAGGCCAAGAAAACACCGCGGGGAGAAACGAGACCTTCGGAACCGGCACGCTGCACTGCAAGCTGCTCTCGCTCGGGGAAGTGACCTCAATTCCTGTGGATTTTTTAGCGACGCGCAACGTCGCGCCTTGGTGACGGGCAAGCGCGTGCAGTGGTCAGACCGTGACGTCGGTATGGCCCTTGGTCTGAGAGTGCTGTCTCGTCGCAGCTTTTTATACGTCCGGGACACCATGGGGGTGCCGCTGCCATCCTTCAGCACTCTGTCCCGCTGGGCACGCCACTTCTCCATGGAGCCAGGCCTGATCCAGCCGGCGATGTGGGTGCTAGAAGCCACTGCTGCTGCGCTAGATGGCAATGACCGGCTCTGCGTCATTTCATTTGACGAGATGAGCCTAGACAGCAGGGTCTGCTACGGCCAGGCACGTGATGCGATAATGGAAGCTTCCAAGTTGCAGCTCATCATGGTTCGCGGTCTGGCTAGCCCGTGGAAGCAACCAATTTGCTACGACTTCGACCGCGCCATGACCGCTGACACCCTGCTCGCCATCATCACCCGACTCGAATCCATTGGTCTGCGCGTGATGACTGCCGTGAGCGACATGGCCTCAACCAATGAACGTGTCTGGGCGGAGCTGGGAGTGACCCACGCATTCTACACGGATGACCACAGGACTTTGTTCACCAACCCGGTTGACCCGGAAAGGTATAACACGGGGCATATTACAACCCAAACTTCTACGATTTTATACGGGACAAGATACATCAAATATGACACAATGTCATAATGTGCTTATCACGATGAAGGATGAACAATTCAGTGACATGGCCAAGGCCTGTCAATGACTATTGCTTTAATAAGAGTCTGGCTGGCAGTGACTTTAAACCAGCAATCAATGCGGTAAGATTGTCAGCACTCTCGTGTCATATATATGCATATGTTCAGGCTGAAATGTATTGCACATGTCAGAGCCTAATAATTTGAAGTCAAATGTTGATGCCATGCCTGCATAATTGATCAGTCGAGCTTGGTAAAAAAGCGGAGAAATGGAGCACTATAAGATCACCGCTATGCACCAACAATGAAGGGTGGCCCTGAAATATTGCATGGGTTGCCACATAGGCGCGTCTGGGTTTTCGCCGATGCCCCTCACCTGCTGAAGCTGGTGCGGACGCACATCTTGGACGGAGGTCTTCAGCTGCCGGGCGGTGCTCAGCTGGACGCCCAGGTGTTCGAAGAAGTGTGGGATCTCGACCACCCCGCCATGGACCGACCCGGCCATCTCGTCGATTACAAGCTGTGCCCGAAACTGACGCGCATGCACCTTGATGTAAGTGTTTGGAAGATGATTGATTGCCTGGCATGTCATAACTTCTGTAATTATGACAAAGTTTAGTTATATGTATTCTTTAACACCTCATGCACCGTCCGCTAGGACTTTCACAGACGGTAGTTTTCAGAAAAAAAAAACACTAATTCAGCGTTGCGAGCATTGCGGACCCCTTGAGTAAACATTTCCTGACGTTCACGTTGAAGTGTTTGGCCATTAAAACCACTTAACATTAACATAACGCACCGGATAATGGCAGGCTTGTGACCATGACATTGTCTGACATATGGGTAATGTAGGGGCTAGACTGCGCGTCTGGGAAACCATACACACGGGGTGCGACTCCTCTCTGTGCTCAGCCGTCCTGCCAGGGTGAGAGGCAAGCGATGCATAAAAGCCTTAGAAGGCAAGTGCGTGGTAAATATGTACGTTCTCTTGCTCAGTGGTCCGTTCAACTGACTTCAATGCGCATCGAAATGAATTTAAACTTACCCAAAGCACTTTTGGCAATCCAAAAGGTCACGCAACTTTTCGAGCTAAAACAAAGACTGTTGCTGGAAAAATCCGGTAGGTGCCTGATTGACGAGTTGTTATGGATATTCTAGGGTCGTGGCCAGACCAGCCAGCGTGTGCAGCTCGCGTCCCAGCTCCTGTCGGAGCATTGCGCTGCCGCACTGGAGCTGAAAGTCCCAAGCCGTCTCAGCGAGGCAGCGGCAATACGGACTTTTGACCGGTGGTTTGATGTGAGTAATAGTAATGGGCCATCAAATGTAAAGCCGGAAAGGCGCGCCCTTGGTGTGGACCCCGAGGTGGAGGAGCTGCAGCGCCGCGCCATCGACGACGCCGCGCGGTTAGCGCGAGCCATATCAAAAGTTCGGCCGCGCCTCGAACACGGGCTGCTGGGAAAAAGGCATAGGACTTCCGGCCGGAAGTTACCGTTTCAAGACGGAATTCTCAGAAACTGCGCGTCTCTGACCGGCCTCCTCTCCGACGTTCGACAGCTCGGTCTGCGTTACGTCATGACGGCACACCTCAACCAAGACCTGGTCGAGAATTGCTTCTCACAGCTCAGGGCGATGTGTGGGTCGAACACGCACCCCAACGCTGTTGAAGCCCAGACCCGCCTTCGAATTCTGCTGATGGCTCCACGGCCAATCATCGCGGCCAACAGCAGATCCCTGTCCCTGCCATTTGAGATGGAGCAAGAACCCAACGAAACGGGGTCGCAATATCTGACCAGCAAGCCTGACCGCGCGCCGTCGTACGCATCACGCCATGCGCCGCCCCTGTCTGACCTGACGCCGCTCGAGAATCACCGGAGCCCAAGGAAAGAGATCATCGTCCGACCCGCATTCGTCACAAACGAGGCCATGCACGGACTGCCGGGAGTCTTGCAGCCGGAGGGGGAAATGGTCGCAGCAAAAGATGCAGAGTACTTCGACATCGTTTTCGAGGAAGTGGCGCAGCGGCCATCACTGCCCAATCTGACTTCTGACGATGAAGACCATGCGAATGGAGGCGGATGCACGGCCAGTGCGGGTTCGGCAGCCCGTCCAGCGCTGCCTGGTGAGGAGGCCGTAGCCTTTTTAGCAGGGTTTGTTGCTGCGAAATGCCGCATCTTCGACCCAACTATGGGTACGAAAACTCAGGATACCGCGCCCGTCAAGCTCGCCCAAGTACCCTCAGCCTGGATTTGCGCTCTCAGTCGCGGACACCTAACTGTGCCCAGTGTTGAGTGGTATCAGACGGTAGAAGAGCTGAACCCAGTGGTGTCCGAAATCATGGGTCCCCGATATCGCAGTGGTCCCGGGGTTAAGGCCTACATCCGCGCCAAGATCAGGGAGAAGAGACCAGATCTCGACGACCGGGTCGTGAAGAAATATGTCAGCGCCATGGTTTGGTTTCGGATCAGGAACCTGAACGAGCGCAAGGTGGCCGAGGCAGCCGAACGCCGGTCAGCTCGACAGGTCCGGCAGCACACTCGCTAACATGAATAAGCTGTCGCGAGGATCCTGTGTACCTGCCAGTGCTGTACCTGCGCCATGTACCTGCCTCCACCTCCACTTGGCATACAGGTCATCAGCTCCAAATACACCAGCAGGAACAGGTACAGTGCATTGGAACAGTGCCTATTGGAACAGAACAGCGTACAGTGCCTGATGACACCACTAGACTGGAAGGGGTCCAAATGTAAGAAGCTGCTTGTCAATCTCACACATCCTGATGACTGCAGTACTACATACTCATGGGGAACAACAAGTTTGGTACTATTATCATAGAATCAAAAATGTCTGGTGAAGTAAATTTCATCTAAATTTCAGAATCTGAATGCACATTTCAACACATCTTTGTTATTATCATAGGATCAAAAATGTCTGGTGAGGCAAATGTTGCCTAAATTCCAGAATCTGAATGCATGTGTCAACAACTTTTATAATGGTACCATTTTCACACAATATCACAATCACATCACTGTTCACACTTTTCCATACAACTTCTCATTGATGGTCTCACCGTGCAGTGCAATCTATGATCCCCCACACAAAATTTGCATCCTAATGCTGGCTGAGCTTGTGCATTTATGACAGCCTCCTTTACAGTTCTGGGACATTTGCAGGACATCAGCATGGCCTTTGCAACACAAAATCACAATAAGCACATGAGAATACAGTGTATTGTCATTTTAAGCACAAATTCTTGACAGTTTTTCCAAAACAAAGTGATGTTCAACATGGCTCACCACTTCATTGAGCAGCCAAGCAGTTTCAGTGACAACAGAACACTATGTGTTATGCATATTTTCTTCTCACCTCCAGGGACATTGATCTATAGTAGAAAACTGTATGGGAATTTTTCAGTTTAAGTGACACACACAATTTTTGCTGACATTTTGTTACATGGATTTATTCTGTCTTCACTCACATTCATGAACCCAGAGTTGCTTATAACACATCAGGAGTTAAGTGATCGAAAAAACATGGCAGGGGGTGTTGAGGGCATTTTAAGAAACTGAGAGCCATTGTTGCAGTGATGCACAGGCCAGAAAAAAAACATTTTGAGTGATTACCTAGAACACTGCAAAGCAAAGGTTTAGGTGGCAACACGCCATATTGATTACTTATCTGTCTGAGTGCTAGCAATGATTGCAATATATGCAAACATAAATGTACACATGAACAAAAATATGCCAGCCATGGAGCACAAAAACACAGCTGACTGTAGCATTATGAGGCTTATATCATAGGATTTTACCATACTTACCTTACTGTATTTACATCATTGTGATATTAAGGGTGGGAGCTATTAAAAATCAATAATGCAACTGTTCATATAATCATACCTATAGACAGAGCAAATTCGGTGTAGGTGTACTTTCCTACCTAACGTTAGAAAGAATCATTGCACACCATTCGTCGTGTTTAAGGCGGCACATATCGTAAATAATCTCAAAACAGGTAGAATCATGCTCCTACCTTCGAATTTCAATAACTTCGATGGCGGGTTCCCGAGCGCCGCGCGCACCGCGCCGTCTGGACTCCCCAGCACCGTTTCTGCGGTGCCGTTGCGTAAATACAATATTTCTGCTTACCAAGAACTCTACAAAATGTACGGGACCAGGGTAAACCGTTCGTCGTGTTTAATGCGGAACATATCGTAAATAATTTCAAAACAGGTAGAATCATGCTCCTACCCTCGAATTTTAATAAATACGATAGCGAGCTCCCGAGCGCAGCACGCACCGCACCGCACCGCCTCGACTTACAAGCGCCGTTTCTCCGTTGTTGCGAAAGCACAATATTTCTGCTTTTCAAGAACCATAAAACATGTACGGGACCAAGGTAACAATAATAAAGCAACCAAAATCGTTTCTTATCGAGTTTAGGTACATTTATGAAACACGCAGGCCAGAATAGTCCAGAACATATCCTAAACTAGCCTAACCTAACCTAACCTAACCTAACCTAACCTAACCTAACCTAACCTAACCTAACCTAACCTAACCTAACCTAACCTAACCTAACCTAACCTAACCAAACCTAACCTGAGAATAGACCAGAACCTAAGCTTAGCTAAGCTAACCTACCCTACCCTAACCTAACCTAACTAACCTAACTTAACCTAACCTAGCCTAACCTTACCTAACCTAACCTAACCTCCCCACCCTATATCCCCTTCAACCCAGCATCCCATTGCCATCCATGCTCCATGCCATATATAGGTGCCATATAGTGAGCTTTTATTTAGCTGCCATGTTCTCATTTTGCTTTACATTCCCCACCCAATCCCCCTGCAACCCATGGTCCCGTTGGCGTCGAGGATCAAATTGCATGGATTCTTGTTACCTTGTCCCGGCACATTTTTGTGGTTCTTGATGCTGTTTGATGCGCAGTAATGTTGTGACCCGAGCAGTAATGGCGCCGGTGTTGCGGGTGCTGTGTGTGTGCGGCGCTCGGGAGCTCGCCATCGTAATTATAAAAAAATTGAAGCTAAAATCATTAATCTACCTGTTTTGTAATTATCTACGATATGTCCTGCCTTAAACACGACGAATGGTTTACTTTGGTCCCGTACATTTTGTACAGTTCTTGCTAAGCAGAAACATTGTATTTACGCAACGGCAACGCAGAAACGGCGCTGGGGAGTCCAGGCGGCGCGGCGCGCGCGGCGCTCGGGGGCCCGCCATCGAAGTTATTGAAATTCGAAGGTAGGAGCATGATTCTACCTGTTTTGAGATTATTTACGATATGTCCTGCCTTAAACACGACGAACGGTGTACAATGATTTTTTCTAACGTTAGGTAGGAAAGTACACCCTGACCGCAAATTCTGCAAGTTGAGCTGTTCAACTTTGCCACCAGGCACGAAAGGCAGACAACCCTGATGCCAATCCTGAGGCTCTCTAACGACAAGCCAGCCTTGGACAAGCCTGGTCATGGAATGCAATACACCACAAACGCCGCACGACATATAACCCCATGCTATATCACCACAAATGCAAAAACCGTACACTCTAATGAGGCCAAACTGTTCTAGGACTCAGTGTTCATTCCAGAAATGTGTGTGAATAGCGAAATGATGGATAATTGCTTCTCAATCCAACGGGGAACTGCCAGCCGCACGCCACCAAAACACACTCACCATTCAAACTAATGGGTTGTGTTACGGTCAGCTGACTAACTGAGAGGCCTCCGTGCCACTGACGTCATCAAATATGGTATACTTGACGTCGTGCAGGCTCTGCTTCCAAACTACCTCTTTTCTCACGCAAGCTCGATGTTGCCATTTTTTCGGACCGGACGGTTCTACCTCGTTAGATAGCCTTGGTCCAGGCGGTGCGGTGCGCGCGGCGCTCGGGAGCCCGCCATCAAAGGTATTGAAATTGGAAGGTAGGAGCATGATTCTACCTGTTTTGAGATTATTTACGATATGTGCCGCCTTAAACACGACGAATGGTGTGCAATGATTTTTTCTAACGTTAGGTAGGAAAGTACACCTACACCGAAATTTAATTCACCAAATCTGAACTTAAGAAAATACATAGTGTGCCATATGTGTCTGAAGTCAATGGAAGTTCCCCTTTCTCTAACGAGTTACTCTGCACTTCTTTGGGTGGGATTTTATGCAGCTGTACTGCAGGATAGGGTAGTGCCTCACTTGTGTAATGTTCTGGCACTGGTGCATTGCCACTGGCTAATGCCCCAAGGATGTATGGGCTGGGAGCCTGAAATGGAGGAAAGACCATTGCTTTGATTTTGAGGTAAGCAGGGCTGTCCAGAACCTTAAATCACTGTCAGGGTACAAGCTGTGCCTGTAGTTGGGCAGGCTTTTACATAGTTTTCTGTTTAGTGGTGTATTAATATTTTTTGTTTTGATGTGTCAGATGTCATGGAAATTGAGCATACCAAATATTTTTTTCTTCAGTTTTAGTTTTTCCTGTAAGGAGTAATCACTTATGGTGGAAAAATTGTCTTTTAAGTGCAAAGAAATCCCCAAACAACTGAAATACTACCAGTTCCAGACCACCTTCTTAATCATGATGCTATGGACTAAATCCTGGCATAATTTGAGTGCCAGTGCTACATATTGTGTCCTTCCATGCCCCAGCTAAGACAAAGGCTGCAGTCTTATCTCGATATGTGCATAGCATTGTCCTTTATTACAGTGTGATGAGAAATCTGACAAAAGCCAAGATATCAGATAAATTGGGTGGTGTGCTTACACTGTATTTAACCTAGCAGCTGGTAACTCTCATCAGCAATTGTATTGTCATAAGGATAGCTTTGATCATAATGGGACATTAGTATGCCTGGCCTGCAGCATCACAAGTGTTTACCCCTGGTTGCAGACTGTCGCTGGTCGCCATGCTGCTGGAGGTCGTGCTGCTTTTGCTGATGTCGGTGGCCGTGCTGTACGAGTGGAGCCCGCGTTTCCGCTACAACCTGCGCTTCATGGTGATGTACGGCGGGGCACTGCTGGTGGGTATCTGCGTGGCGCCGCTGGGCCTGCTGCGACCATGCGACGCGCGCAACTCGCTGCTCTTCACGCGGCCGCTGCGGCTGGTCGGCCTGCTGCTCGGCATCCGCTGGCAAGTGCGTGGCGCGCAGCACCTCCAGCCCGACCGCGCCTGCATCGTCGTCGCCAACCACCAGAGCGCCGTCGACGTTCTGGGCATGGTGGAGTTGTGGCCGCGTCTGGGGCGCGTCGTCACCGTCATGAAGAAGGAAATCTGGTTGGGCTTGCCATTCGCGCTGGCTTGCTGGCTCTGTGGCCAGCTCTTCATCGACCGGTCGAACGCGACGCGCGCGCGCGCTTCGTTGGAGCGCGCTGCCCAGCGCATGCTGGATGAGCGGCTGGCTGTCTGGTTCTACCCGGAGGGCACGCGCAACCGCAGCGGCACGGGCCTGCTGCCGTTCAAGAAGGGCGCCTTCCACATGGCGGTGCGCGCGCAAGTGCCGGTGGTGCCGGTGGTGTTCGGCCCGTACCGCGCATTCCTCGAGCCGGCGCGCTGTCACTTCGAGCCGGGCCTGGCGGTGGCGCAGGTGCTGGACCCGATCCCGACCGAGGGGCTGGGCGTCGACGACGTACCTCAGCTGCTGGAACGGGTGCAGGGCCGCATGGCTGAGGCTTACTGCCAGCTATCGGAGGAGCTAGATGCGACAAAGGCAACCTAGGAAGTGGGGCATGGGAACGCGCGAACCCGGCGCCTCGGGGGCATTGACGTTAGGACGGGCGTAGTCTCGTATTTATTTCGGTTTCCTGCTCGGCGTGGTGTGTGTGTATGATAAGTTCAGTGTCATAGATGCTTACAAGCGCTCTTCATGTAAGCTGGACGATGTGCGGATGTGGTATATTTCTAAACCTTCGTGATGCTATTTTGGATCCCGAGAGCCACGCACATGCTTCGTCGAAAGAATGTCAAAACTCGAGCGAAAAATTCAAGCGCGTAAACTGCGCTAGTCGGTCTGCCCGGGCTCAACCTTTGCGTAAGGTCCTTTGGATTGTGACCATTGCGGCGCTGTGCTCTGGTAAGAGTAGTCAGCACGTAGACAGTATTGTATCCCTGTATTCCTCAGCAGTGCTAAAGTATTGAGGCATTATCTTTCGTACTTGCCAGGTATGGGTAACCTGTTTGGGTTTGGCTCTATGGAAGGTGGGTGTTTTAGCTTGTGTTGAGGTGGAAGGAGCGGGGTTGCGGCTGCCTTTTGATAGGCAGTTGGGGAAGATATGTAAGCAAGAGATTATTTCCTAGGTATCGTGCTGGCGGTGGGCGTATTACAACATAGCAAGTTTCCTAGTCATGGTGGGCGCATTTTCGTGCAATGTTGTGTAGAAGTTACGTTTTGCACCGACCAATGCAGCATTCTCAAGAGTTTTTATTTCTCTTGTGCTCCATTGCTCATTTGCGGAACGTTTTGAGACGCATATGTTTGCGCAGAAGGTGACCATCTTGTTTATATGCTGTATGACCAGCTGCATTTCTGTGCGCTGCCATGGTGGTGTCATAAACGTAGTTTATTATCTGGGGCTCTAAGTACAGGAATGAGATGGAAATCAGAGTGCCACTAAACAGGATACGACGAGGGATGGTCTCCGCCCAGCCTCTAGAACCTTTTGTGAACCGAGGAGCTGAGCATCGAAGACTGAGACTAGCACGGTGCACCTGTTCATTCAGGTGCGCTGCATATTGTGGCTGCTACACCTGACCAGATTCAGCGGATCTTGCTGTTCACGACCAAAAAAGCATCGAGCGTGGGAGGTGACATACCAATAAGCAGCTTGAAAACCCGGCCTGGATGCCATCAGCCAAACCTCCTTTAGCGCCGTCTGGGAAGCCGAGACCATAAGCGCTCTGTGGTCGCGCAGTCGAAGCGCCCGAAAGCCTTTCCAAAATGACGCTGAAGCCATGCCCACTACATCGGCGCACGTCAGCAGCATGTAATTCAAGGCCCATCACGGTGGTTCCAGTCCCGTCAAACTTGGGTGAGGCTCGTTCACCAGCAGCCCGCGTCTGACCGGAAGCACCAATGCGTTTTTGGTACTGACCAGCATGGGTTAATGAGTCATCACCATATCGGTGCCGTCGTTTTAACTGTTACATATGGCGTCTTGCAAGGACTGACCAATCCAAGGTAATGCTTGTCATCCGTATGGATCTAAGCCGCTATGTCTGTGTTGTTTTGTGATGTACCATTGCACCCTTTTACGAAGATCCCGTAGGTCCAATTCTCCACCGGATGACTGCCTGCCCTGGTGCCTGTGTGCCTGGCGGCGCTGTAGCTACGGTCTCACCGGTGCGCCGAGCTCGTTCGCCTGGCTACTCAACATCGTGCTGGACAGATTGGCACCGAAGGAATGTCTGGCATGCTGCGACGACATCGTTGTCCACGGCGACTCGGCCAGTCAGGTCCTGCAGCGCCTGGAGAGAGTGCCCAAGCGTTCCAGCAGCGCAGGTCTCATTCTAAACTCGGCGGAAGGCCAGCTGCTCCGATCAGTGGTGACGCACCGGGGTCACCGAGTCTCAAAAGACGGCATCGGTCCCGATCCAGAAAAGGTACAGAGAGCGGTGGACTGGCCAGTGCCCAGATCCAAAAAGGAGCTGTTTAGCCTCCTGGGATTGGCTGGCTACTTTCGTCGCTACATGGCCAGCTTCGCTGAGGTTGCTGCACTGACGCCGCTGATGCAACTGACAAAAACACGTGCCATTTCACTAGCCACCGGGGCTGAAACAGCATTCATCAAGCTGAAGGACCTGCTGACCCCAGCACCAGTGGTGGCTCTGCCTCAATTTGAAGACGACGCAGCGCCCTTCATCCTGGAAACGGGCGCATTCGACCGCGGGGTGGGATAGGGACTTACCTTCTACAGGTGCAACACGGACGAGGAAGGAAGATAGCCTTCCGCAAGCACTACCTTTGCAAATCGTCACTTCCTGTTGGAACGGAAGTCTGTGTGGCGAACCGGCCACAGTAGCCCACGATGGCTGCTACTCACTTCAGGGTTTCCTAGGGGGTGTTCGCCCGGTGGCTAGAAATACTGAACAATTTCCAGTTTACTGTGGTCTATCACCCCGGTCTAGTCCATGACGATGCCGACGACATGTCACCGCCGACCCGAGAGGTCGTCTGCCAGGCGGCCCAGTCCCTCCCGGAAATGTCGTTTTCTCGTGACGGCGAAGCGGCCGTGAATACCGCCCGCCCCGGTGGCTCAGTTGGTTAAAGCGCCTGCCTTCCGACCCACCCACCCGTGGCGCGGTGGGCTCGTGTCGCTTTATGGCGCCCGCTATTTGCCCTTGACAGGCATAGCCTGCGGCCGGTGGCAGCGGTCGCACTGAAGGTCAGTTGGCTTCAGAGGGCAGGACGGACCGTGCCGAGCATTGCGACACGTAAGCTTTCGCCACCAAATTGTGCCGTTGACATAGAATTACGCGATCGGGTGGTAAGAATCAGAGCTCACACAACGAACACTGCTTAGCTCTGATCCCAGAAATCCATCCATTCAAAGGCTTCGGATAAAATCTTTTAAAAAAATGCAGTTGACACCTGCATTCACGACCCTGCCGCCACCGCCACAGGAAACGTGCATGCCCCGCTCCGTCTCAAAGACGGGTACCTCGGTGGTGCGGAGCCCGCCGCTGCCGTCCCGGCCCCAGCCGTAAGTCAAACGCGTTTCACTACCAGGCGGGTGATGCGGTGTACCTGCTCCGGAAGGCGCCCGCCCGGGACGAGTATGACAAGCTCGCTCGGCCCTGGAAACCTGCGGTGGTGCTTGTCCAAATGGGTAGGCAAGTTACCGCATCCAGCTGCGCGACAGCAGGCACAGGAAACTGGTGGTCCACTGCAATCGGTTGAAGCCGCGTAACGGTGACACTGCAGAGCAACAGTTGCCATCGGCAACACCAACACACCGGATTGCGCCGGCCGCGGCGCCGCACAGTCAAACGGCTCAGTCGCAGCGCCAGGTGCCAACTCAGTTACACCAGCACTGACCGTACCAATGTCCACACAGGCGGACAACAGACAGTTGTACCGACTGAACCAGCAGCACAATTTTTGTGTCTGCGCGTGACGCAAGGGACTGACGTGGCTGGGTGTCCGCCTGAAGAGGCTGGGGCCGCCAATCTCGCTCCAGCCCAAGCCGCAACAGCGAATTAGCCGGCAGAGGCCGAGGCTGCGAATCCGACGCCATTCCAGGCCGCAGTTGAACCGCCAAACGAGCCGGCAACAGCAGCGATACCGACCCGTGACCTGTCCCGGCTCGCAGGTCACGCATCCCGCGGCCCACGTCACCACTGTCCCTCCGTTACCTGGCGTCAGCCAATGAATTACCACCAAGTCCGGGTCTCCACTCAAATGCGTCCAGGCCCTGGATCCCAGTGCCTGTGGAGCAACCGTCTTCGGACGGTCATTGCGAGCAGCGGAGCGCCCGACTCATATGACCTTCAGATCGATTTGGCCGATGACTGATAACTGGGTACGTAATAATGATCCATAGTGCATTTGTATTGTTTGTGTCACCATGTTATTTAAGTAAGTTCAATGGCGTGGCGGATATCGTTTAAGGGTCTTTCCTACTGTGCACGTTAAGTTAGGCTCGTAGGATACGTGGTTGTTATGCCTTGGATTTGTTCATTATGTAATGATTGAATGATTCAACTATGAGGTCATTGTTCTTTTAAGAAGAGTCAAGTGTAAGGTGTCAGAGCACACCTATGTGTTAGCCAGTGAATATGGTTTGGTGAGCGCCGTTAAGATGCGCTCGCGTTCCGCTCCTGCCCCAGGCGCCCCGTGCGAGAGATGCGGCCGTGGGGGCCGGGAAAGGAGGCCTTACCTGAGAGCCGGCGGCACGAGGACGGACGTGCCGGCGGGACGGACTGTGTGGGGTGTCATTTAACGAGTGCCAAATACAGAAGTCACTTGGGACGTACCGTGTGTGCAAGTGACCGGGAGATGAGGCACCAGAACAGCAGAACGTACGTTAGTGAGGCAGAGGCGAGACACCGGAACGGTAGAATTTACAAATACAGGTGTCTGGGAAAAATTATTATGACCAAACCAAAAGATAACGACATTGAACTTTACTTAGCAATGGTGCCGGGCTATCAGGTGTCAGAAAAGCACACTCGTGCGACTTTGGTTTCGTTCTTTTCGATCGAACACAACGCCAACGTATCACTCAATGTTGGCAAAAGGGCTCGCTGACTATTCTCTGGCCGTGTTTAGAAATGAAAGTTTGGTCTGGAAGGCGATAAGACGATCGCAGTATTTCCAGGTCAGTTATCCCATTCTGGCCCCTACTCCACGTTTACTCTGTACGCAGCGTTTCTTCACGGACATTCCACTCCTGCTCAGGTGCAACCCGCCGCCGCATCGTCGGCCCGCCGGCCGTCGGTCGCCCGCCAGCTGGTGGTAGCCGGGTGCGAGGAGGTCCTCAGCCGACCTTTGCCAGAAAGCGCAGGTCGACGCTCGCGGGTAGGGGCGGGGGGCGGGTGTGTGCGGACGCGGTGGTCATCGGGCATGTGTGTAAATACCTACGTGTCAAGTATGTGTTTGCGGCATGTGGAACGGTGATGATAAAAGAATCACTGATTAATCACAGCAACATGTGGAGCATGGATATCAGGATGTTTGTGGATGAATTTCATTTTGCGATCCCAGTGGACCTGGACCTGGACCTGACCCGGACCAGCAGTGCAGTACATGTCTCAAAGTATAAGATAATTGCCTGTGAAATGAAATAAAGCCTTTTTGGGAATTCCAACATTAAAATTGTGAACCTTGCCTCAAACTTGATTTTAGTTACACCCTGTTTTTTACACCCTGCCCAGTGAGAGCATGTCCAATTCTTTAATATTGTATAAACTGGGGTATAAGTGAAATTTTCTTTGCAAGAACTTGCTGGTGATGAAATATCTTAACAATATCTGTAGCTGATTTGTTACTATTCTCTGACTTTAAAAGGGGCATGTTTTGCTAAGCATGTTTGCAACAACAGTGCCAGTACCTGTGTAGTGAGTTCTCACAGTTTGACACACTGCTGCCATCAATTTGAGTACAGAGAGGGAAATTCTGTCTGCAAACAATGCTACTTCCATGAATTTCCCTGTTTTGCTGTAAGCACTTAAAGCCAGGAGTGTAGTTTCTTATTCAGTTTGGAAGGGCTTCAGCCCCCTCCCCCTGCCAACTTGAGCCTTGGCACTCCACTCCAACTTTGGGAATAAAGCTTAATCTGGGAAGGAACCTGTTGGTCATTTTGGGGCTAGGTCAGGTCATTTTTCACTGCTCAGCCCCCCCCCCCCCCAGCTCATTTGGGAAACTGCCACTGGTTGCAGTATGGTTTTGGGCCTGATAAATGGTTATAAGCATATTCTTGCATATCATGCAGGGTAATGCAAATAAATGCAAAATGGCCAAAAGTGCTGAAGTGTCAGAAGTGTATCAAGTAATGCTCATCAGTAGGACTGCAGTTTTGAAGCATTTCACATTACCCAATGATATCACTGCATCATTTTGTACTGTTTTGCTCTGTTTCTGAACATAGGTATTTCAAATAAGCAAACAATGCCTAATATTTCTGTTTCAGGAGTAAAACTTCTCAGCTATAATGTCCAATAAAGGGAAGCCCAGTGTGAGAGAGGCAGAAATTGAGAAGTGTCGTGAAGAGGCAAATTGGAAGAGGGTCATTGATCTGGCCGAGCAGGGGAAACAGCGTAATCCCTCCACAGGTCTGTCCAGAGCATGGTATGGCTCACATTATAGCCTTGAGTGGCTTAATTTCCACTTGGATGGCTGCAGCTAGGTGCAGTATTCTGCCACAGAGGACTGTGGGCCTAGTTTCATGAAATGGCTCCATGGATATGCTCACTATCATATTGCACTCTGAAAGTTAACTAGGAAAAAAGACAAATTTTCCTCAGCATTTATGTTGCATGCCATTATGAATTAGATCCATCAGCAAAGCTAATATATGCTTTGCATGCCTTCAGACTACTGCATGCTGCATAAGCTTGCAAAGCTTGCATCAAGAGTGCCCAGGGTCATTGATTCACTCCACAAGGCGAAAGTCCAGGATGTGGTTACAGATGGGCATGCATGGCTGACCAGTCAGCATCTCACCACTGATATGTGGTTTGACTGATACAGCACTTTATGCACAGACTTGTCAAGTTGTGGCTTAAATGAGCTGGCTGCCTGCCGGAGTACCGTGCGTCAGCAGAAGTTGTTTTGGTGCAGAGCCACTGGCCAATTTCCTGATCGCCGAGGCGCGCCTGGAGTACTACCTGGAGGAGAACCCGCCGAGCGATGCCAACCAGGAGAAGGCTCGCCGCGAGCTGCGCGACGTGGAGCGGCTGCTGACAATGGCAGCCACCTCTGACTGCCCACAGAAGGTATGCATGAGCCACTGAAGGCGCAGTGATGTGCAGAAGGGGCAGATGACTCACATAGGGTGAAGGTATAGTGGCAAACAGAGGGTAAACATTGACTGCAGAGGACAGATGCGGTTTCTTGCCATCGCTGTGATCACCATGCGCCTAATCGCACCACCACGCGTCCTGGTGGGTTGTCACGCTGTCTGTAGGGTGTGAGCCAGGCGGGTGGATATTCAGGTGTCAGTGCTTGTAAGGATCTCCCTTCGATAGCCGTGCACTCGCTCTCACCCCACTCGCGTTGGAGGTACTCAAGCATGTCTTGACAGCATGAATTGTGGACGAAGCGAAGCGAATGATCCTTTTGCGGAGCATCATTGACTGCGTGCTGTTCGAAGTTCGAGGCATTACTATGCCCCCTTTCCTCCCCCTGCCACCTTATGCGCTGGCTCCGAGCCGCCGTATCATGTGTATAAATAAATAGCCAAATAGAACGCTGGCCGTTTGGTAAAGGCTGCGGCGAGCACAGCTGCTGCGGCAGTCACAAGCCACCCGCCTGAGGCGGCTGGCCCTGATGGCTCGCTACTGGGCCTGGCGTGTGCGCCGCTGGCTCGCCCGCCCGTGCGGTCTGTGACGCGACAGCGACGCGCTGGTCGGCAGATGGACATGATGATAGACGCCCACCTGCTGCTGGGCAAGGTGCACCACGCCATGGGCCTGCACGAGGACGCTCTGCTCGACCTGTCGCGCGCCGGCCTCGACACGCTCGCCAAGCGTCAGCTGCCCACTCGCAGTCTGCGCGTGGTCGCCGAGTCGTACGCCGTGAAGGGTGAGTTTGGGGAAGAGCCGGGGACCGAAGCCGTGCGCGGTCTGGGTCCGGCGCGGTTCCTGAGGGGTGCGGCTTAGAGGACAACTGTCTGGTGTACAGGGCTCACCAGTGAATGTTGGTGTGCGCCGCGAGCTTGCGATTGGTTGTACGAAACCTTGCTTTGCCTCAGCGTGTTTTCTAGCTTTTCGTTGTTGATTATTAGCATCCTTGTCATCATCTGTCTATTACAACTGCAGTTGTCTCTGCTTTCCAAGCTGTCATGCACGTATTTCTTTCGACGTCTTCTGCCTTTTTCCCGCGTGATTTAGTTCTATATTCAGTGCCCTGGCTCCGTTTGGGCTGTCGGGCGTCAGCCGTCGAATCAGGGCTCATAGCCCGCCCCGCCGCCCCTCGCCACGTGACCGTCTCGTCCGATGCGGGGCTGCTCCACATTACGTCGCTACCATTACGACGGTCGCCGTCGTAATGGTAGTGACGATTGTGTGTAGTGTTGCTTGCCGTCGGCTTCGGCAGGAGCCTGTCGCGCCGTTCGTCGCGTTAGGCTGCGAACTCGTCCGAACGCGAGTCTTCGCCCTCTCGACCGCCCTTGACCCCGTGCGTGGTGGGCGCCGCAGGCCTGTGCCTGGAGAAGGCGCCGCTGGCCAGCAGCAGCAAGTTCAAGGCGGCTGAGCGTGAGGAGGGCGTCATTGGCTCTTTCGAGCTGGCCAGCGACCTGGCCCTGCTCTACCTGCAGGAGGTCGACAAGAGCTCCAACATGCAGAGCACATGGAGCGTGCACACAGCTGGTCAGTCCGCTGCGAACTCGCGTCTCCGCACACGCAGCCGTGAAGGGAACTGGAGGGGCGCCAGCATAGATCAACTCAGTCTAAAGGCTGCGGTTTTTAACCTGCGGATTTACGAGGTCACTGCAATTGGCTCTTTTCGAGCGGCGTCAGTCTGCACTGGTCAGCTCGGGCTGAATTTTGCGTTGTTTTAACCTGGAGCTCGCCACAGTCCCAACTTTTTGAGTGGCCTCGGTCCGCACTGGTTAAATTGGGCTAAATGCTGTGCTGTTTTAACCTGTGTATTAATGAGCTCGCCACAGTCCGCACTTTTCGAGCAGCGTCAGTCCGCACTTTTCGAGCGGCGTCAGTCCGCTCTTTTCGTCTAATGGTCAGATATATTAATTGCTTTTCTGGCAGACAGCGATGGCGCGGGGACCTGTTGCGAGTCATATTTTAGATGTCACCTCCAGTGCATTGCTCCGTTCTGCAGTGTCAGTCGCTCTCCAGCTATGTCATGCCCGTGCGGTGCTGTTTCAGGCTCCTCCAGCTCGCCTCTACCGCCGCACCCGGAGAACCGGCTGGGCCTGATCCTGGAGACGGCACTGCAGAAGGCTCCCATCCTTATCCTCAAGGCCAATCAGATGCCCCGGGCCATTCGGCGGTACAGGTGAGCGGCGCAGGGCTGGCGCGGGGCTCAGGCCGGCCCGCGGCGGTGTCGAGACGGCCTACGGGCTGCAAGCCGCCTGAGCTCGGGTTGGGTATGGACACCTGTCTCGCAGGTTGTGCAGATTCGTGCTGCAAGCGAGAGGCACCCGATGCTACTCAAACAGGATGCCATGCATTCAACACCGCCCGGGCACTTGTGATTATCTCGAGATGTGTGACGGAGCAGAGCTTACGGAGCAGCCAGATACACCAGACACCCCGTTCTCTGTGACATCAGCTTGACTTAAGACGTAGGGAGACCTTGCCCACGCCCGGTCTGACCCGCCCTGACAGGATGATCCTGGGCGCGGTGGAGACGTCGGCCACGCAGGGCGTCCGACTGGCCATGGCCCGCCGGCTGGCCGAGATCCTGCTCAGGGGCGTCAGCGACAAGGCTTACGAGAAGCTGGAGGCGATCCTTGTCAGCGGTGAGTGAGAGCGGTGCCGACTGCGTGGCGCTCGGCACCAGACCGACACAGGCCGCAGTGTAGATAACGCTGCGTACTTTAGGAGTGTTTTGAGGCCCGCTGTAGTGCCCTAGTCTGCCTACTGGCAGTTTTTTTTTTGGTATTCTTGCATTAGTTTCTGGCGTGACGTGCTGGTCGTGTGCCACTCAATCTTGACAATTTCGCTATATTCACGTTGTAGCAGACAATGCGTGGCATTGAGTTCCCGCGTTGAGAGGCACTTGTGAATTTTTCTTAATGATAGATAATGATAATTTGTAATAAATAAGTATAATTAGAAGCTTCAGACACCTATTCTGGGTAATATCAACTCTGAGAGCTGAGTGGTCAAGCTGGACAGGCTGGCGGCCGACGTAGTGACTGAGCCCGTCCCGCAGACCAAAAGAAGAGCTCGATTGGTGGCCGGTCGGTGGTGTCGCCGTGGAAACCGCGGCGCCAGGTGGGCAGCAATCTGTTCGTGCCCAAGGACATCAACGAGGAGATAGTGCTGCTGCTGCTAATCAGGTGAGCGCGTGCTGTCAGGCTGCTGGGAGCGGGCCGGCGGAGCCGGATCAGACTGCCAGCCACGGCGGATCTGGGAGCGAGATCGGCGGCCGGATCAGATTGCCAGCCGCGGCGGATCTGGGGGCGAGATCGGCGGCCGGATCGGACTGACAGCCGCGGCGGATCTGGGAGCGAGATCGGCGGCCGGATCGGACTGACAGCCGCGGCGGATCTGGGAACGAGATCGACGGCCGGATCAGATTGCCAGTCGCGGCGGATCTGGGAGTGAGATCGGCGGCCGGATCAGACTGCCAGCTTCGACGGAAGCGCAGGCGGTACCCACTTCGGCATGGAATATCGATGCATCATTTGGCGAATCCGGCGTGGCCTCTGTGGGGTACATGTCCGATGAGATAATGACTACGTCGGTGGCTTCAAATGGTTCGCTTGCTTGAAATGTCCTCCTGCCTGTGCATCGCGCTGTGCTGTACCGTCCTGCCGCTTCCCGGCGTCGCTGGTGACTCACGCCAGCTATGGCCGTCTACAGTCAATCGGGTGACTGAGTGATGCCCTGGTAGCCGCTCTCCGCCTTCAGACGCAAAATAACAGTGTCATCTAACATGTTTTGGGTTTTGTATTCTCCGGGGAGGCCGCCAACGTACACACCAGCTCCTGCTTGCAGACTTCCTGTGCCACCATCCGGCTCAGTTCCCTGTCGACATATTCACCAATGTGCGCTGTGGGTCATGACTAGAGCTCCAGGCTCCGTTCCCTGGCGGCCTGATCACCAGCACTCCAGGCTCCGTTCCCTGGCGGCCTGATCACCAGCGCTCCAGGCTCCGTTCCCTGTCGGTCTGATCACCAGCACTCCAAGCTCCGTTCCCTGTCCGTCTGATCACCAATGCTTCAGGCTCCGTTCGCTGTCTGCCTGATCACCAGCGCTCTGTACCATCCGTGGTGACGTCGTGCCTCTGCCCGTGAGACAGCGAGGCTCTGGCGGTGCGGGAGGCCGTGCTGACCCAGTCGCCGGAGACGGCCGAGGCGCGTCAGAAGTCCTACGGCGTCGCCACCTCCGTCTACGACCTGATGACGATGGCGTTGGTCAGAAAGGGCCAGGCTGTCATGCTGTGCGAGGTGAGCTGGCGGGGTCGGAGTGGCTGCCAACGGCCGTGACGCCGTACAATCGGGCGGATGTGACGAGCCCGCCTTCCGAGAGGCGCTGACTAGTCGAGCTCGCCCGGCCGAGAAACACTGACAGTGCGGCTTCTGCCCGCAGCGGCACTGACTAGTCGGTTGATCTCATGCTTGGACTCCCAGTCAGCCAGTGCCCACCTCGCAGGCACGTGGTGACCCTCTCAGAGTCGTGGCGGAGCGGTACGTGTATCATGTTACCGGCCCATGGCTGCCAAAGAGGATCCTCGCCGCTATGCCCCCTGATCGCGGAGTGACTCCCTCGGCTGACGCCCGCTAACGCCCGCCCCCCTCTCCCTTCCCTCACTCGCCCGCCGGCAGTCGCTGGAGCGGGCGCTGCGCTTCAGTTTCGAGGAGGCGCACGTGTGGCAGCAGTACGCGCTGTCGTTGGCGGCGGCCGGCCGGCCGCAGCGCGCCCAGCTGGTGCTCGAGGAGGCCTTCCGGCTGAACCCGGACAAGGCGGTGCTGCCGCTGCTGGCGGCGCGCCTCTGCTACGAGAACCTGCACCGGGTGAGCGGGGTCTGACAGCCGCTGGCGGTGCCGCCGGTACAGACAGCGTCCCAGCGGCTGGGGACGAGTGGCACCACCGGCGTCGGCGGCTGGGTGGTAGCTCATGCACGCATGTTTAATGCACCAGGCGTGGAAAGTCATCACGTGGAAGAGGCAAATTCGTTGCGCGTTTTTTGCAGTCGAAGAGTGTCCGTTAGCTGTGCCGACATTCACAACGTGCTGTGGTTGGCCTACTTGCCCTGGTAGCGGCCCGCTGCGCCGACCACCTGTGGCGAGGCCGTGCCGGCTGGAGCTGGCTGGCCGGAGGCTGCTTGCGGTGGTGACGATGGCGCGTCCCCGCAGTTTGAGGACGGGATGCGGTGGAGCGGGTGTTTGCGATGGTGACGATCGGTTACCTCCCCAGTTTGAGGACGGGTTGCGGTGGAGCGAGTGTTTGCGTTGGTGACGATCGGGCGTCTCCTCAGTTTGAGGACGGGTTGCGGTGGGGCGAGTGTTTGTGGTGGTGACGATGGGGCGTCTCCTCAGTTTGAGGACGGGGTGCGATGGAGCGAGCGCGCCCTGCGCCAGGAGTCCTCTGAGTCGCACGGCCTGGCCAGCCGCTGCCACCTGTACCTGGGCATCGGCCAGATGCTGCAGGCCGGCGTGTCGCGCCAGCAGCAGGAGAAGCAGCGGCTGGCCGACGCCGCGCTCGACAACTTCCGCAGGTGGGCGTGCTCCGCGGCCGGCGGCCGGAGCGGAGCCGGCGTCAGGGCGGCCGGCGCCCCATCGGTTGGGATGCCGGGGACCTGTCGTGACGTTCGGCTCGCGCTAGCGCTGGCGTGCACCAGTTGAACAGTAGCGTTGAAGTTGGACGAGCGTAACGGTGTCCTTTCGAAGGGACGTGTTGCCTGTGCATCGCGTAACCCGGACCGCGTGAACGAAACGAGGCTACGATGTTGCAGGCTGATAATTGAAAGGTTTATCTTATTAAATAAAGCGGTTTTTATCATTGCACTGAACATCCCACTGTCACTCACTATCGTTGTGAACTGACGCCAGCAGCGGCGGAGGACCGAGGCATAGCGTCACGCCATCATAAAGCCAACCTTTCGCCGTTTCGGTACCGTGTCGCTGACCTGTAAGACATGGGGTGGATTATACTCGTACATCAGTTCGAGCAGCCTCACTCGTTGGTCTGTGTTACGGTCATTTCTTGTGTCCCTCATCCGCTCTCATAACACAGCCCGACTGCACACTCATGCAATATGGAGCCATACATTCAGTGCCTCTCCATCACCGCCCTTTCGTCCAGGGCGGGAAGCAAGCGATGCCGTGCAGCCTGAACAACCAAGCGCATTGTGGAGCTCTGGTGACGACGCCCCCCCCCCCCCCCCCATCAGGTGTCACGAGCTGGACCCGGGTGACCATCTGGCCGCCTTCTACATGGGTTACCAGATGGCGCGGGCACGCCAGGTGGCGGCGGCCGTGGCGCACGTGCGCACCGCGCTGGAGCGGCGGCCGGACCACTTGGGTTCGCTGCACCTGCTGGCCCTGCTGCTGACCGCCCAGAACCAGCACAGCGGCGCTCTGGAGGTGGGTGGCCGCTGGGGGTCCGGGTGACACTGGACCAGCGCGGTAGAGTGCTGATGGTGGGTCAGGTCAGCACCCTCCCTCCGGGCCGGAGCATCCAGCTGACTGACGGGGAAGGCTCAGTTCTCCATCCCTCGGTGCCCGGGCACAATGCAATGCATCTCCGTCGGCTGTACACTACGCCCCGTCCTCCGTGGTCAGCGGCGGCCTCTTGTTTCAGCTGCTGCGCGTGGCCCAGGACGAGTACCCGGAGGACCTCCAGCTGATGTTTACTCGCGTCCACGTGGAGGAGTACTGCAACGGTGGAGAGGTGAGGCGTCTGCGGCGCAGTGGATCTGCGCAGGTGCTCACTCGGATGTGGGTCGATAACATCTTCAATCAGATCCGCCCTCGCAGTGAGTCGGTCACAGCGATCTTCTCCCAGGCCATCCTTGGCTGGTTGGGTGTGTTCGAGCCGTCATACGTGCTCGCTATTTTCCCGCTGACTGGTTTGGGCTGACTGGGATTGGTCGTGGTCGCTCAAGGTCATATGAGGTTAAAGGGCACGACGGACTAAGCTAGACTTTGCGGCGCGTCAATTTTTGGCCGCAAAATTATGCCGTTGACCTAGAGTTGTACGATGGGGCGGTAGGATCTGAGCTCATGTAACAAACACTGTGAAGTAGGATCTCTGATCGCTGAAATCCATCTAATCAGAAGGCCCTGACTGAGGTTATAATAGGATGTTTTGTCAAGTCCCATATGCCTGTCCTGGACACCTTGTATACCTAAAGGTATACCTTGTATACCTTTTGTATACCTATATAGCACACCATATATATATATATATATATCGACAACGTTGCTTGAGCAGGCAGTACTAAGCTGGCTTCTCACGCTGCATTTCCTGTGTCGTCCGGCAGGCGGCGCTGATCGTGGCGCGGGAGATGCTGGAGCAGTGGAAGGAGATCTACGATGCCCGCATGGCGGAGAACAGTCTGGACACTGACCGACAGTACTCGGTCGTCTCCGACCCCGATTCAGGTGCGCCGTGTGTCCTCACCGACAAAACACGCACAGGTCACAAAATACTAACGGCACTTACAGCAAGGGCGAATGGCGCCCGTGTGTTGTAGGTGGTACGCGTAACCGTTCGAGGAAGAGGTAATGCAGTACCTGCCATATGCCCAGGACATAAATGACTTCTTTAATGTGCTTGACCATTCATTGTTGGATAATGGACCAGTAAGATCTAGCTGTGCATCAGACTTTTGCATTTGCATATTACTGGAGCACTTGTCCCTTCGTCGGTCTCAGATAAGTTGATGCAAACCATTAAGCCAGTAAAGTCAATATGCGTTCCTTCGAGATGTGCGAGGCCATTCCTGACGAGATCAGGACATGACAAACCTTCTCATTTCGTATGTATTTTTACTGCTTATTCAGTCGTGTTTTAGGTATAGGAATACGTTTTGCACTATTACCACCGTCTTGCAGCACAGCATGTCAAAGCATGACCAGCGTTCAGAGGAGATCGAACGATTGATATCGATGTTTGTCATGTATAAAGCTTGAATAGTGCACTCAGTAGGAAACATAGAATGGTGGGGGAGTAGACGGTAGAAAGCGTGTATAGCACACCATAGCAATAGCTGGCGTCACGAATGTGCCAGACATCAAGGCATCGGTACTGGGCACACCACCTCTACAGTCCGGCCCCCGTACACAAGCAGCCAGCTGTGAATGACGGGTGCTGCGGGTGATCTCCCAGCAGCGCTCGGCCCGCCGGTGTAGTCGGCACCGAGCCTGCCGGCGCCGACGCTGGGTCAGGCCAGGGCCCGGGTCGGCACGGTCCCCCCGCGGCGCGTCCCTGGGCCGGGTCCTGGGCCGGAGGCCGCGGGCGCCCCCTCTGGGCCGGCCAGAGGCCGCGGGCGCCCCCTCTGGGCCGGCCCAGAGGCCGCGGGCGCCCCCTCTGGGCCGGCCCAGAGGCCGCGGGCGCCCTCTCTGGGCCGGCCCAGAGGCCGCGGGCGCCCTCTCTGGGCCGGCCCAGAGCACCACTGCGCGGAAGGCTTCCCTATCCGGGGCCAGTGTCAGTCGTAGCTGTGCTCTGTCCGAAGTGCCGCTCTGTGCCTGCTGTGTGGGGGCCGCGGGCCGTCAGCTGACGCGCGCCGGCGGGCTCTGACGTCAGCGTTACGTCACCGCAGCGGATAAAGTAGCGCGCCACGTGGTGCTCTCGCCGCTGGAGACGCTGGCCATCCCGGTCCTGGGGCCGAACCACCTGTTGCCCTCGCCCGCCGGCTCCGAGTGCGAAGGTAGCTGCGGCGGCGCGTTCCGCACGCCCCGCCCCCATCCGCCCCTGTCCGCTGTACATAGCTGTCGCCGCCGTCGTCGCTGCCGCTGCTGCTGCCGCTGCTGCCGCCGCTGCTGCTGCCGCCACCGCTGCGGGCAGGGCTGCCGCCGCTGCCGGTGACGGCAGGCGCGCTGGAGCAGTGAAAGTGCGGATGGGGTGGGCCGGTCCTGGCCCGGTTTTGCTTGACATTTTGGGCGCTGGCTGCGGTAGTTTGCGTTTGTCGTCCGGAGGCGGCGGACTGCTGTGGGGGTTCTCTGAGGTTGCGACCGGCACCGAGGAGCATGCGACCGGCGTACTAAGCTGTGCGTACTACTTGGACTTAACAGGGCTTTGGTCTGGCGACGGCCTGCATGCATGGTATACAGTAGTTTACAATACTAATACGGGTTTCGTGTGCCTGGTGTGCGTAGCCAATATTTAGTGTATATTAGGGTGGTCCCCTGTTCTGTGCTGAGGACTTTTCCAAAGTGCTTTCTCATGAGCCGACGCGTGTTTGGTGATGAAATCATGCGGGGTAAATGTGGCCAGTCCAGCACTTTTAAGCACTGTCACACGTGGATTGAATGCCAAATTCTCATACAGTGTAGGCCATAAAAGTTCGCTCTAGTATTCCCCATGAACTTGTGATCCCTAGTGGTTTTGGACAACGTGATGTCAAAGTCTAAAATGGCCCAACCGTGTATGGTGTACTCCAGTTTTTAAACCATGAACACGATATGCATGCATACTACATCAATGTTCACCTCCTGACGCGATGGATTGAAGAACACTTCGCGCGGTCCGTCGCAGAGCAGATGTCATTGAATCAGTCACGAACGGCATAGCTCAGGCGAAGATGTTTGCAGACCTTTCCCCTCCACCTCGAAGTCTAGGAATAACGGCGAATGTGTCATTCGACACCTGCAGCAGGTACTGCTTTCGCTTGTCTTTCCTCGTCAGTGCCGCGTTGTCCGTATGGACAAGAGCTACGCATCGCTCGACGAAGCCGTTTGCTGCCGCGATCCTGCATGCGACTTCCTTGGCATTCGTGAAGTCCGATGTTGTCACCAATCGCTGGGATGGGCGACGAGGTCTTCGTTGGTCCCACAGGGCTTCAGGATTCCCACCGACCGATCGTGATGAAGTCCGCGAGGGTCTTCTTGCTGAAACTCCCTTTACCGCGAGATCCACTTGTGCTCACTGTGGTGTACTCATCGATCCCTGTCCCTGAGACACCCGCGACCATCATCCTCATCTCGAACGACACCTCGTCGAATCAGCTGTTGCGAACCATCCAGCTCTTCGCTGAGGTGCCAGAGGTGACTGGTGAACTTCTTGGGGTCGCCTGCTGCAAGATTTGAGCGTCCGGATAGCTGGTGACGCATCGCAAGAGGGCCGAGCCGTGCGCGGTAGCCTCGACCACTGGTGCGGAGAACCGTGCCCTGACGATGGAAGAGACGATACACTTGAGTGCTCCTATTCGCTGAGTGTTAGTCAGAACTGATCGCGAAACAAGGAGATGCTGATCCCGTAAATCGGAGGTCCCATTCATCCGGCACGGTGGAGAGCACCCGGGTGGTAAAACTTCGGCCAGCTTCCCGCGGCAAAAGGTAACGACACGATCCTTTGAGAAGAGACAAGTCTCACCTACTGTCGGCTCCAGGTATTCATGCACCATGGGCTCAAACTCCGACTGATGTGCCTCTTTCCGCTCCTGAAGCACTGAAGCAAGGCAATTTGTGGTCCCGAAGGCGGACCGAAGCACGTGGAGAAAGCCGCCTCCGTCCTTAATTCAAAGGTATGCTTACCAGCGAAGCGAAGTGGAGGAGCTGTCGCCTGAGCTCCTGTTGATGGAGCGTGCATACTGGAGGCACTTTGACACTGTCACTGGAGGTGGTGTCAAAGCTCGATCCTTGTTCCTATTCGCGACGGTCCAGTAGTTCACACGGGGCGCGGCAGCGTAGGTTGTCGTGGCGCCAAATCCTCCGGCGAGCCTCGGAGCACCACGGAGCCCGATGACGACTCCTGGACCGGTTACTGGGACTAGTCGATTCACTTTCTCCTCTCCATCGTCGGGTCCTGGCTTTCCGTCTCAGTGGACCATCAGAGACAGGACGCCGGATGTCTCCCTCGGTGGCTATCGTCCGCAATGTGCGCGTCCGCCTGCTCGATCCTCGGCTGGTCGTCTGGCCAGGGGAGCCGCGACGAAGGTCATCGTCGGTCGGAGCTGGACCCCAGAGGGGTCGCTGAGCTGGGACCGATGGATGGCTGCTGCCAGACCAGCGTCTTGGTTCACCCGCATTGCCGTTTCAGAGAAGAAAGCGGCGTGAATGGCTGCGTGTCATCCGCACTTGCCACTTGTGTGCTGTCGGTGGATGAAGATTCCAACAGGGCAGTTGCCTCGTGTTCGGCGTGCTCTCCCGTCCGGCAACGGACCCTTTCTGCGGTCTGCTGTTACGATTGGAGAGCTGCACTCTTCCTTCCCAGCAAGAAGCTGAATTGCCACCATGAAACCTCAGTGGCTTCGCTCCCATTGGGCCTGAAAGAAGTCTTTGTTCTCTGGGACTTTGATGATCTTCATAGCATCGACATGGGAAGTCTCAAAGAGGTTTTCGAGGCATCTCGTAAATTTCTTTTTCTCCACTCGCGCTGTGGACCTTGTGCATTTGTCTCCGAAGACAGCTGGTCACTGGTCAAGTTTTCTGTTTGACTTTTTATCACGCTCCCTCCAGCGCAGTGCCAGCGCGGACTTTTTTCCACATCCCACATCACCTCACGAACGGCGGTGTTTCGGCCTATTCCTGGGCGAGCGTTTCCGCATGACGCAACTGAAAATGTCACTGCGGCACTTGCGTCCAGCCAGGCGGCCTATTTCCTGGCACCGATTCGACGGGAGCGTCAATCAACCAAATTTCGGCTTTTGTCGTGGGGCGCATTGCGGGGTGCGACCGCAGTGTCACGGGCTTCCGCTACGAAAGGGTGCTTCCTGCATTGCCGCCAGTCGCCATGGGCACCCGCACACTCCCACCGCGTATTAAACCCCCGGGGGAATTGCCACGACGGTGTTTCAGGCGCGCGTGTGGCGCGCACGGCGACCGGCCGATGAGCCCGCACCGACGACGCTCGCATCGCACCTCGTCCTTGGGTGAAAGGGGGCGGGGGCGCGAGCGAACCCCCCGTCGTACCATCTTCGCGAGTCTTCTGGACGGTTGAGCTGGAGCCGATCGCTCCCACGGGGTGCCGACAGCGGTGGGTGACGCGGCACGTCCAGAACTTGTTCGCGGCGAGTTTTCGAGAGGGGGGATGAGCGCGGACACCGAGAGCAGTGGTTGCAGTGATTGCAGTGGGTGCAGTGCGGTGATCCTAGCAGTGATTCACCTCGGTATGGTGAAAATGGAAGCCGGAATTGACGTAACATATCCTATCCAAACAAGTAGAACACTTGCACGCTGCAGATAGAAGTTCACATGTCGGTCAGTTTACTCAGGGATCTTGTTACAGTAGTAAACATAGATCAAATTTAATACGCTAGGGCACGAGTATCTCTGTTTAAGATGTGTAGTATCAGCATGCTGAAGCGCTTTTGAAAAGATCACAGAAGCAATGGCGGACCACCCTGGTGCCTATATGCGTGGCAACAACTGTCTGAAGTTGACGCGTATCTTCAGCCCGATGTTGTTTACTGCTATTGTTCTATTGCGAGTCATGCTATGATGCGTTACGTCAAGGCGAGTGCGTGCTGAATATCTGCCTGGAGTTCGCCATCGTGTTTTGTGGTCAAACCTGGAATATGGAGAGGACAGCTGGGCCTGAAAATGGTGTTTCAAATGTGAAAACGTTTAAAAAACACAGTTTACAGGGGATATTGGGAGAAAATCCGATGTCGATAGTTGTGTGTGTGGGGGGGGGGGTGGGGTTAAGGGACGTGTTCCCCCCAATCTCCCATTGGTGACACCCATCTGTCTGTGTGTGTGTGTGTGGCGCTCACGCCGGCCGGGTACGGGTGGAGCCCCACTGTTCGGTCTGTGTTCGGTCCGCGTCGCGTGTGACGCGGCCCATCCTGCGGCGCGCGCTGTCGGCCCGTCCGTGCGGCTGGGCCGACCGCGGGCGCGCCGCCGGCCGAGCCGAGCCGAGCCTCCCTCACACCGCTCCGGCTGCGCGGCGGCAGGCTCCGTGCGCGCGTCGTCCACCATCGCGCCGTCTCGCGTAGAGCAGGCGCTCTCCGAGGTGGCCTCGTCGCTGACGTCCAGCCAGCCGCGGCCGGGGCCGCAGCAGGTCTGGGACCTGCAGATCCGGATATGGCTGCTCGTCGCCGACCTCTACCTCAAGTGGGTACAGCGTCTTACACGCACACACGCCGCCTTACCGGGGTAGCCTCCCGCCCGCCGCCGCCGCGTTCAGGGCGTCACCCATCCGCGGCATTGGTTGCCTCATTTCTTCGGCCTGGAACACAGCGTCTAGCTTCCTTGGTAACTTTGCCGCCCCCATGCCCCCCCCCCCCCTCATTATCGAACAGCTGGCCACTTTTCTTTTCAAGCAAATCGCCTACGCCATTGCCAGGCTGTCACATTGAGACTGCGTGTGACGCGCACGGCCACTGACCGGGTGCCGCCGCCACCCGTCCGTAATGAGCCGACGGTCGGCGCGTGCGGTCGTGCTCGGCGCAGCCGGCCGTGGCCACTGTTCAGTGCGTGGCGCGCATGGCGGGCCGGCAGCTCGGCAGCTGACGCGTGCTGACTGCCCCCAGACTGGGCCAGACCAACCAGGCCATCTCGTGTGTGCAGGAGGCGGCCACCATCGCGCCCGCCTCGCACCATGTGCTGTACTTCGTGAGTGACGGCCGACGGAGGCCGCTTGCCCGTTGGACCGCTGGACCGCTGGGTCGCTGGACCGCTGGACCGCTGGTCCGCTGGGCCGATGAACCGTTAGACCGATAGACCGTTGGGCGATTGGCCGCTGGGCCGCTGGGCCGCTGGGCCGATAGACCGTTGGGCCGCTGGGCCGCTGGGCCGCTGGGCCGCTGGGCCGCTGGGCCGATAGACCGTTGGGTCGGTAGACCTTTGGGCCGCTGGACCATTGGGCTGTTGGACCCGTGGGCCGAGGGACCGTTGGGCCGCTGGGCCATTGGGCCGAGGGACCGGTGGGCCTAGGGATCGTCGGGCTTTTGGACCGGTGGGCCGAGGGACCGTTGGGTCGTTGGACCGGTTAGTCTGTGAGCCCGTATGTGGGAGTACTGGGGCCGCAGCCAGGGCATAGTGTAGCGGCAGTCCTCATGAAAACGTGTGGTTTTGAAGTGCTCTTTGTCTGGCTTGTTCAAATGAGGCGTGGAACAGCGATGTCTCAAGTGCTGTGCAGACACGTATGGAGTCAGCGACCAATGCCCAATAGTCCCAACAGCTCTGCTGCGGTGGCATAGCTCCCGCTGTTCCCCAGTGGAGTGATCCTGCTCATTGACTGTCGTATTCTGCGCCGCCTCGTCCCCTGAATGATATCGTTAGCTGTATGCCTGCCAGCGGTCGGCCTTGGGCCGCTTATCATCAGCCGATGAGCGCGTGGCCGTGCCACAAGGCAGCGGGGCTGCCATGTCTTCGCTGACCCTCGCTCCCGGCCACCACCCGCAGAAGGGACTGGTGCACGTGTACAAGAACGAGTTCGAGGAGGCCAAGGTCCACTTCAACGATGCGCTGGCGCTGAACCCGCACCACATCAAGAGCATGCAGCACCTGGTGCGTGCCGCGCGAGCCCGGTGTGACCCTCTGGGTGTGCGTGTGAGGCCATGGATGGTGCTCCAGGGACGGTCGCCGGCATGGCTCGGGCCGGTGCGGGGTGGTCAGCTGTTGCGGCGCCGCAACGCTCGGGTCAGCGTCAGCATTGTGGCGTAGTCGAGACCCGCGAGCCAGCAAGAGCATGAGCGCGATGCCGTCCAGGATGTGTACCTGCGGCTTCGACTGTCGTGCGCGGATGCATGGGGATTGGCGCCGTTGTTGTTGCGTTCGCGCCGGCTGTCCGTCTCATCGGAGCCGCTGCTGGGCGTCGCCTGCCGCCGATGGTGTCACGTGACGTCCGTGTGCTGGTCGCCGCAGGGTCTGGTGCACCACTACCTGGGCAGCCACCGTCTGGCCGAGAAGATGTTGCGGGACGCCATCCAGCTGGAGCCGCTGGTGCACCAGAGCTGGTGAGCCTGCCGGGCCGGCCCGCCCCTGGTCTGCCGGTGTCGTGCGATACACAGCTGGCACGGCACGGCACGGCACGGCACGTCTCTCCGGACACACACCGCGCGCACCACATGTGATGTGTCAGCGTGGCTGGGCGGATTGCGCCGGCACGTCACGTATTGAAGGCCGCGTCTTGAGCACGTGTCTGCGATTCTGCATGTAACGTGTGTCATGTTTTGTGTGCGTGATCGTGTTTAGCGGGTACGGTCGTGTTGGGTACGTGGCACGGTTGCCTGTTACTGCACGGATAACCTGACAGGGTGGCTCATCCTGTGGGAGGACGTAGCTCCGTGTGACCTTTGACCTCCCCCGTCCGGCTTTTGCCTGAGACGTGCGGCTCATGAACACTACACGAGCGAGGGATTAATGCACGTGTTGCCGCATTGGGCACGTTTGGATGCTCTCAGAGATCTCAGTTGTTTCGAGTGCTTGCATGTGAACTTCACACAACTGGATCGAGACTTTAACAACATAAAGATCCACCCCTTTATCCCCTTTCTTGCTTTATCCTGCATCCTCGCGACGCCCCGCCTATCCGAGACATGCTGTATGCGCCAGCCTCGAGCAGGCTGAGAGGCCTTTCTGTTGAGGCCCCCGTCTGGGCGCCCGGCGCATACTCCGCAGAGGGGTCCCTGCGCGGACTTAGTCTCGGCCGTCGGGCCTCCTGGCGCGTATAGTCACACCCCACCATTATCCATTCTTGTTCATCCCATAGCCCTGAAATGGTCATTGCTGGTCGAGAGGACGCTGGTCCAAATAGCAAGCAGCATAAAACCGTAACAATGATTTACAATGTGTGGCGCGCCGGACTGCTCCGATTTGCTGGGGAGGTGGGACACGCAGGAGCGTTTGCGACGCCTTCTTTCGGGGCGTCATCCTCCACCTAGCTTCTCCCAGCGTGACGGCCGCGTTCCACCCGTCGACAGGTACAACCTGGGCAAGGTGCTGGAGTTTCTGGGCGAGAACGAGGCGGCGGCCGACTGCTTCATGACGGCCGTCGACATCGAGGCGACGGCGCCTGTGCTGCCGTTCACCGCCGTGCCGCTCTGCTTCGAGTGACGCCCGCCAGGGGCGCTGCCGGGCGGCGGTCTCTGGGTACCGGGGCGGCTCGGCTGCATTGGCGTGAATCATTTGTTATCTGTGTACCGTGGAACAAGGGTTTTTACCCCGTAGAGAGCTAAAACTAGTGTGTCTAGTCCACGTGTGTGTTTGTTGACGTGTGAGGTGGCTCGCAATATGGAGTGCCACGGTGGTTGTGCGTCGTTCGCTGGTGTTGTGCTAGTCACCGTTAGCTGGATTTGCTATCGTGCCGCGTCGGTTCTTCTCACCGGACCCTGCCGGTTTGTGACGGTGGGTGTAGTGTTGCCTGCAGGCCGGTGAGCGGGGAGTCACCGGAGCTCAGCGGTGGAGCGTCTGTATCGCGGCCGGCAGATTGCCTCTTCAGACTCAGCAGCTGTTCCGTTTTTGACTCGGCTGTCACGGTGATCGTGGGCGACTCCCGCGGCGCGGACCGGGACGCGGTCGTGCGTCGCACAACAGTCAAAACACTGACACGCTCCTCCTCCGAATCCCCCGCCCTGTCGCGGCCCGTGCTGGTGTTATGGCCCCTTCAGGCGTGCGGGTGGACTCGCGGCCGACGTTCCCAGACCACTCGGCATGTCCGCTTCAACGATGTGCAAGAAGTGAATATGACGAACTTGTTGTAAATGGTGTCCCTGACGTGGGCTGTTGGGCAGCTTGTGTTCCGTCAACACTTGAGCGGTGCGTTGTGCGTGACGCTGGTATGAAGTCAGCGTTGGCACCGCACCATTAATGTGGCCATCGCGAGGCCTGGACTTCCCTTCCGCGCTCGTCCGATCCTGTGATACGACATTCCTCCCGCGCGTCGCGGTGTGGCGTCCCCGAGGTCGGACCTGATTGGCCCGGAGTCACGTCCGGTCCGTGTGACGTCACTGTCACGGCGCATCTAGACACCACAGTTCGGTCTGGTGCTGGCTGACTGTCCCACGGCGCGGGACGACGACGGCTTACACAATACATATATGTCTACTGTTGTTGTGGCCACCTCTTGACGGTGCTCTGTGGAATTACCCGAGATGAATAGCAGGCTGCTAATGAAACGGTCACTGATGGCCGGCGCTGAAGAACCTGGCGTGTTTGTATTGTGTTGGCCCCGCTCTCTGGCCATCAAGAATTGCACTGGGCATCGTGTGGCCGATATCTGACAGTCGCTGAAAGTGCTGATATCATACCAGGTAATCGAATCCCACACCATTGCATGACAGGCCAATATCTGAGGACTGAGTTCAGAAAAATATGGTATTTCAGGCCTGGCTTGTGGAATATGTGCCTTCGTAACGTATATACGGCTTGTACATCACTTGACTGCTCCTTGCTGCTCCAGAAAGCTCGGCGACTTTCGCGATCGTCAGACGAAATAAACGCAGACGAAAGAAACATGGGACGAAACATATGCGGGCGCTGGGTGCGCGTAATGGGCCTGCCGAGGGCCATGCCTCCACACAGCCTTCAGTAACGCTGATTTAGACGTAGGCTTTTTAACGCTCAATACGTCGAACGCGCATGATCTTTAACAGCGGTAGGATCGGTCGTTGGGTCCTCGCACACATTTAAAGTTACTGGGTTCGACCAAGAGCGGATCTCGAACGGTGCCGCATGGGCTCAGCACCGGTTTGGAGGTAAGTCCAAAAATGTGCTGTGATTTTTAAAAACTCAACATTTCGTTCCTTTCGCCCAAAAACCTGTATGTCCTAAAACAAGCTTGTCTTGATAAAATTGATATTTTATTCAGACAAGAACTGTAATGTTTTGCCCAACTTCGACCATCTTCGGGGTATATGGCTCAGTTGCTGTCCTTCTCTTCCGTTTCCCATCACTGGATCCCTCCTTGTTTTCGACACGCTGATGTGGGGCATCAAGTTTGGATGTCTACAGTCATAGTGTTTTAGTACCCCGTTCACAGAACCCCATTCAAGGCCAAGCAAGGCCAGTAAGGCTAGGGCCAGTACCCCGTCCACAGAACCCCATTCAAGGCCAAGCAAGGCCAGGTAAGGCTAGGGCCAGTACCCCGTTCACAGAACCCCATTCAAGGCCAAGCAAGGCCAGTAAGGCTAGGGCCAGTACCCCCGTTCACAGAACCCCATTCAAGGCCAAGCAAGGCCAGTAAGGCTAGGGCCAGTACCCCGTTCACAGACCGGCAGATAATGCAATTAGTGAAGTGGTACCTTCAGATGTACTGTGACAATAACTGTGAGACTGGGGGGAATGGGACGGGAAACGGTAGTAAATTTGAATAAGACACCCACCAACGAGAACATGCACGTAACATCGGATATATAGACCTTAGCACCTTTTACCTGGGGAAAAGGGCTCTGCTTGGGCTGCCATTAATTCGCATGGCGTAACTGGGCCCTTTTGGTTTTGAGATCACGATGGGAAGACGGCAACAGTAGGTCAGGGAAGTGATCGCGGCACCCCCCGCGACAGTTCTAGGGCAAAAGTACCCATGCACAAAGTACGTCCGAAGTTGGTCGCAAGCACAAGGTTTGAAGTTCAAATGGCAGAAGAACGCATGCAAAACCCGTACGCAAAATTTCAGGTTCAAGTGTTGGCATAGTATAAAGCGCGTAGGGAAACCGTTCCGATTGGCAAAAGTTTGTCACCAAAAAAGTTTGTGTGGAAAAACTCGCATGCATAAGGTATGTACGTGATTGCTTATAAGAAATTGGACGTACGCGTATGTTCGAAGCGGATTAGGTTGGTTCGACAAAAATACGTGCACGAAGGTTCTTAAGCAGCTTAAGGGTAGGAGCGGGGGCTGTGAATGTACCACACTTTCCCGAGAAAAACAAACATTACGCCTTTCGCGATACATGGAGACAAAGGATTGGTATCGTGGAGGATACTCGTTGTTCACTATGTGGAAAGCGTTCGAGAACGGTCAACCACTAGGGTACCAAATTGTGCACCGGTAGATCCCATATTTCGCTCATGTTTGGTTTCCGGGATGATTTAATATATGAATTGGAGTGAGCAATGTCTAGCTCTATCAGGCGTACAGTTTACAAATGATGCCCTCGGTCAGCGTTGGGTCAAATGCAAGCAGGGTCCCTATCAAAGGGGTGCGTCAGAGCAGGTCCTGCTGGTGTATCATTCTCTCTGGACTCCGATTTACTTAATGCAAGCAATTGCATACTTGGTGTCACTGGCGGGTCTGGACGGACGGACCCACCTGGTTCTGACGGGTCTCTCCGTCATATTCCACAATCGAGCTGACTCGCCGCGTCCGTCAGGTGACGTCAGTGACGCGCTCATTGGCATCAGGCGAAGTCGTCGACGGAGACGTCTTCAGGGTTTAGGGATAGTGGATGAGCTTAAAAGACTCGGCGCGCAATCTGCAGCGGACATGGTTTTTTTGACACCAAGACAACGGACACCAAGCATGAAAATCTGTATCTTAACGTTCAGCACACATCTTCATACAAAGTTTATCGTGTGCACTACCGTCAGCGAACTTCATCCCTGACAAACACTTTCGTACAAACGTGCTGCTTACATCAGATATCGAAATACGAATCTTGGGTTGCGTGTTTTTTTTTGTTTTGTTTTTTTTGTCAAGCGGACGTTTTCTTTGACCAACAGTCACGCGCGAACAGTTAGGTCCAAGCGACTACTTTCGACCTTTTTTACGAAATTTTGCGCGGACGATCAATTTCACTACGAGCTTTTCCTGGCGAATATTTTACCATACCATCTTTATCCATACGTTCTTCTGTCATTATGAACCTTTACCGCTACAAACTGTGCACGCTACTTTCTTCATCCTGAGGAACATTAGGCATACGTACTTTACTTTTTCACTCGTACCTGACATACTTTTTGGGCATACTTGCCACGCGCATTTTCTACATGTACTTTTGTCCGCAAACTCTCTGCGATACCATGCACTGACTGTCTCATCTCCTCTCGACGAAACCCTTGTGTTGGCTTCAAATGACAGCGATTCCAACAAGGTTTACTCACACCTTATGCTGTGTTGGAGACGAGACAACTTTTCTCGAACACATTCCAAATGACACTAATCTTAAGGAAGACAGGACGTGTTTGTGCTCCTTATTCCTCCGACCTCAACTCCCTAGACTTCCTCCTGTGGGGATACGCAATGAGTAACATGTGCAAGGGCAAAGCAAAGCATCCAGCAGCTCAAGGCAGCTTTTGAAGGGTTCTGAAGTCTGTTTCAGCGGGCACCTGCGAGATAGTGACGTAAAAAATTGCCTTTAAGATCAATGCTTGCGCAGCACGTCACGGGGGGTACACCGAGCACGCCATACACGCTGTCTGATAGCACTAAATTTAATAGCGCGGCAGGGGTAGTAACGTTGGCTGTATGATTAGATATGGCGTATCGTCACAATATCCTGAACGGCTGTGTTGTGTGGCCTCAGCGTTAACAGCGCAGGCGTGCGGGCCAGGACCGGGCGGTGGTCGGGAGCGCGGGGTAGTGCCTCGCTGTCAGCTGCTGTCGCCAGACACCTGCCAAATCTGGGCTGCAGGGATGCAGCTGCGCGCCAGTCAGGCACTAAGAGGTTTTGACGCAGTCTTGCGCAGGAGACTGACTCGACCTGCGCCGAGCTGGCACGGTCGGATCCCCGGCCCAGTCAGGGGCGGGCGGGAGTCTGTGGAGGAGGTGCTAGCGAAGCGGGATGACTCGGCCGCCGGCGTTCACACTCGGACGGCGGCAAAGGCCATCACCAGTCAGCCACCCCAGCCTCATGTGACGCTGACTCGCAGCTTTATCGCCGAGATGCGCCGGCGCGGTGCGCGCGCTCCGAGCTCGCTATCTCGGGCTCATCTGAATGCCAGGGCAGGCAGGCCATCCCAGACGCACCGGGAGAGCAGGCGGTTTGCATTTGTAAGGAGGTGCTGGGTGAGGAGAAGAAGATAGGTCTCTCGCCTCCCGGAAGCTTTGTTATGAGCGGAGTGGCTCATGCTAATCCGGCCTGGAGTCTGATTCTGAAAGCATGCCACGTATGAGCACGAAGACGTGCGCAAACGATAGGTCTTCACGAATTGATAAACACAAGGTACATAATCTAAGAACGTTTGTATCCAACTGGATTTGGGAATCTCCACGAGATGTAGCTTAGGAAGGAACTGGCCTAACACATGGACGGCACAGGGGGCCTGGAAAGGAGTGAAAATTAATAAATTTGTTTGTTTTATATTTTACATCAGAATGAGATGAAACGCGAATAATGTAAATAGATTTTGCGAGGGTGGTTTGCGCAGATGGGCTGAAAGGAAACGAATACCTTAACATAAAGCTCAGAACTAGTGAAGATGCCCATTCGTGCATAGTCTGCGTCAGGGTGGGAAGAAATATACAAAACTGATACAGGTTTTACATTTATAGTGTCAAATGAATTAAGACAAGAGCTTGATTAAAGCTTTGTGCACCTTCATTTTATTTTTGTTTTGAATTTCATATATTTTACATGACTGTTTGCTGCCGAGAACGAGACAGGATTGAATTCGTAATATGTGCAGCGACATATTTGAGGTTGGATCGGATTACAAATTGGTGGAGCACGTCGTGATGGGTCCCAAAAATTCGACGCACGAGGATTGGTTCCAAAGGCACTCGGAGTAGAAACGTTGCTCCTCACCAAGATTACCGTGCCTTTAGATCGCAAGTTAGAAATATTCTTTGAACATCGAATCATCGACTTAAACAATCAATCACCGCAACACAACGTTGAAAACAAAATATTCTAAGCTTTAGTCGGTGTATATGCTTCGATTTGGTACCCGTGACCTACCACGTCATCCGTTGGATAGCTCACTCGTCAACCG